AGTAGTAGTAGTAGTAATTATAGCAGTAGTTGTTGTTGGTGTTGTAGTAATCGTTGTCGTCGTCATGGTCATCGTCTTGTTGGTATTGGTGGCGGCGGTGGTGGCCGTGTTGGAAGTGTTGGCGGTGCTGGCTTGTCGTAACAGCAGCAACACAAAGCGAAGTGGAAAAAGATTGAGACAAGCACGAAAGGACAGTGCTTGAAATTAGTTGGATGCTGCCTCTTAAGTCTTGAAGTTGCATGTAGCTTTTTTACATGCAGAAGTGACAAGTAATTCTAGAGCCTTGTATATGGCGAATTACGTGGATCTAACTACACATTAGCAGTTTCCTATGTGTAGCTCTGTGTACACTGTACAAATACGTGTTGATCTGTTTATGTGTTCTTTGGTCTATTGCCTGTTTACCCACCTACGAAAACGTGGAAACTGCAAACAACCGTTTGCAGGTGCTGGTTGTGCTTACATGGTTCTGAATTTACACATTCATGTAGTCCTGTCTTCTCAAGAGACCCTAGGAGACCAAACCCTCAAGCACGAACGAACCTCGATTCCCGAATCTACAACACCAAAGCCTTAAACAACAGAGTGACACGCTCGCTAGCCGGGGCACCTCTGTTGCAGGCAATGATTCCAAGCTCACATGCCGGGACCATTGCCTTCCTGGGCTCTAAACTTTCGCATCTGGCTTTTTGAAAGCTTGGTCGGGGGAGTAAACTGCGAGTTTCAAGCTAATGAGTTTCCGGCTTAGCATTCTCTCCTTGACGAGGTGGCCACAGTTTTGAGAAGGGGTCCACTCGGCTCAGCTGGGCTCAGAGACAAAGATGTTTTGAGGCCTTGAGTCTGAAGGTTTCGCCCTGACGACGCAAACTGCCAGTAGGCTCCTTCAGGATGCCTGAACAAACATGAAGAAGAATGCGAAGAGAATGGACCAAAACACCAAATTACACAGTACTATTCCCGTCACCATCGCCATCGACATGGACATCATCACAACGACATCATCCTTATGGCCTTTAGCCAGTCATGCTGCTTCTAATGCTACTGCTACTGCCACTGCCACTACCGCCGGGCTACTGCTACTCAAGCCCGGAGACTGGTGCTAATACTGGCACTCGTGGCAGCATCGCTCGGAACTATCTTCATACCTAATTTCAACAAGGTTGGCAATCAAGCATCATCAGAACTTTCGTCATCATCATCTTAAACCACAGCACCAAAAGTCCAATTTGGCAAAAGCTCATGATGTAGTAGTCGCCCTTGCTGATCACATTTGCAGGCGCATGCCCTCCCTCCTGCTGTCCACCGAAGTGGCCCATCTCAGGGTACCACCTGTTGCTCCGAGGTACATGAAAGGCGCAGGTTGGGAAGTGCATTCTCACGGCTTAGGTTTTGCGGGGGTTCTGCCCCACCTGGCCTAATGGGTCAGTCGGAAAGCCACATCGGATGCACCCCGACTTCGCAGGGCACATCCAAAGCACGCCCTAACTGTGCAGAGAAACGTGCTGACAGGAATCAGACGAACCCTGGATGCTTTCAGAGCATTGACACCGAATTGCACTCACTAAGGCTTTATGAGACAATGGTGTAGGGTTTTAGAATGGTTTGCATCTGGACTCTCGGGACAGCTGGCTTCAGAGTTGCAACACACAGTGATGAAATGGCGCGGCTTCTCGTTTGTCAAGCCGCTTGTACTGCTCCAGAGGGTCAGTCAGGCCATTGCCTTCCCCGCGGCGCGTGCGAGAATGACACTGGCAATGCTTCAGACATGCGAAAACAACTTCGTGCAGGGTCCTAGGACCAAACAAACTATCGAGGACCACATGAAGCACGCAGCCGATCTGAGGAATGCACCAATGGCCAGGCCCTTCAGGGGAATGTGCAGTCCCTCGTTGGCCTCCGATTCGCAACACTGCCGTCTTGCTGGAGGGCAGCCATCAGTTAAGGCTTTTGGAGTTTATGGTCTGAGCCTTGTTGCTGCTCCAGATTCGATGGGAAATAGCCGGCACATAGTGTCCTAGAATGGGCACAGAGTACCATAAGGAGCGAGAAGCCGCTCTGAGGGTTGAGTGATTACTCCTGCATAGGACTCTCCGAATACAAAGAAGTTGGTCTTCTGGTACTGTGGGAACTGCTGGAAGAACTTTTGCAAGAACCTCAGGGCACGGGCCGCAGTGACCATGCCGAGATTCGGCGGTACTGTTTTCACGGCGCTTGAACTATTCGTCTGGACGTGGAGACCATCAGCAGACTTCAGAGGAAAGCAGATATCGCACCCGAATGGAGCCTTGCAAACTGCCAGAAATGCGCGGAACACTCTGTTGGCAGCCAACGGGCACGTACATATTTTCTGCGACTCCCTTCTCATCATGGGTGCCAATACCGGTAGAGAATCCAACACCGGCAGGCTGGTCAACCCACATCACCTCGAGGACGCAACACGACCATCACCCATGCTATACGGTGATGCAACAAAACTCTCCAGGCCAGGCACCCCCAACATACAAGCAATAATAATAATAAGAATAATACTACGTATTAATAGTACTAATACTAATACTGATACTAATACGTCACCCCAGGACGGGTTGACTGTCATCCATGCTAACACTGGGCGACAGCTGGCAGGGGCAAATCATCAAGCACTACAAGCCCAATTGAAGCCAAACTTCGTTGGCTGCGTTGTGCCAAGATGACGGATTTGCGTAGGTCTTCTCGCCTCAGATGGTCGGCATGCAGTGGGACTGCCTGCAGAGCCACGTTTGCTCGAACCCCAAAACCACGAATTTCCTGAAGCCAAAGCCCACGGCGCCCTAGCTACAGAAAGCTTCATGAAGACCCGGGACAAAAGCACACCCTAAACGCGACGGCATCTAGAATCTAGACTCTCAAATCCCAAACTGTCTAAGGATGCACCAAGACTCCGTTCTTTGCCACCTTGCAGGGTCCGTTCTCTGCGAACCTTGGCGAGACCAGTTTAGGGTTCGTGTTAGTGGTTGGCTTACGCTAGGATGGCGTAGCATCGACTCAATGATGGTGCCTTTTTTCCTGGTGCTGAGCATTTGACACTGCTGAGTCTGCTGAGTCTGGCTGTCGTCTCTCTGATGACCAAAGCCAGCATCCCGAAGCAAAGACTCCCATGCTCTTACAGCAATCATCCCAAAGAAGCTTCGTCTCCTCGTCCCGCGCGTGGTCCTAAACCCTAAACCCTAAACCCTTTTGAACCCTAAACCCTAAACCCCTGCCAGAACCCCGGAACCCAAGCTTGACCGTTTCGTCGGCAGGGCTCTGGCTCCGGTGAGCCTGAACTCGACCTGAGCCCCTCATGGGCCGGAAACCTCAAACCCGCCGCCGCCGCCCCTGAAGCCCTCGACCATCCTGAAAGCCAGCATATACATATATATATATGTCTGTATGTATGTCTGTATGTATGTATATACAGATTCCATTGCACATAATTATATGTTGGTACATGTATAATAGTGTTGAACCAAGAAGCAGGGCCAGCTGCGAGGAGCAGCCGGGGCCACCAGACAGCCTCACCGCGGTGGGGTCGGGTTTGCTGAGGCCGCTGATGGTGCCCAGTGAAAAGACTCTGCATCTGTGGGCACTTAGGGTTTAGGGTTTAGGGACGGCAGGGGTAGGTCGTAACGTGACGAACTTGACCGAAGCACAGCTGTTGCAGGCATGGCAACATGCAAAACCCCACAAAGAACTGGACAAACAAGCCCTAAACCCTGACACCCCAAGACCCCAGCCCCTGCCCTGTCCAGAACCGCAACTGCCAAGGCACCACATCAGCAACGGCGCTGATTCGGGGTTCCTTAGGCTTTGCTAGCTCAAGGCGGACAACAGCTCTATCATCATGGTTGACTGCTGGATCCTCGCAGTCAGAGGTTCCTAGCGTGATCCCTACTAGCTTTGCGCTCCCCGTCGTATGCTCAGTCGTCGTCGCGGCGGAGGAGCAGGAGGAGGAGGCGGAGGAGTAGTAGTTGTTGCTGCAGTAGCAGCAGCAGTAGCAGTAGCAGGAGCAGGAGCAGGAGCAGGAGCAGGAGCAGGAGCAGGAGCAAGAGCAGCAACAGTAAAAGTCAGTGGGAGCAGGAGCAGTAGTGCGTAGCATAGCACAGTGAGGCATTGATGTATAGGAGCTTTGAAGTTCGGAGATGCCCCGCCCACTCCACCACCTGGTTAACTGAGGCGAGTGTCTGCTTCGCCTCGAAAAGCCAGAAGAAATAGTTCGTGATCGGGTTCACTGAAATGTAGCCTGCCGTCTGCTTCACGCTGGAGTCCTCAGCTGCTAAATTCCCTGAAATCGTCTCGACGTCTGTGGCAGAGACATGCTCATCCTGATTCACTCGGTAGGGTCCCGACGCAAAGACTGGGGTTCGTGAATCCCTCGCTAACCTGCAGAGTCTGGGCTGAACCGGCACAGGCTAAAGGCTTCCTGGGTTCGCGGGAGTTTCTGTCTAGGTTCTCTAGCCCATGCAGTGCACATTAGGAGAAGATGGAGCTGATGGCGTATGTGTTGTACAGATCTCTCCCGAACCCGAACACGATGAGGGGACTTCCACGATCCGTCTGCAACAGTACACCAAGCTGTCCTTCTGCAAGCCGTCAAAAAGCATCTCTGAAAGCCGGCACAGAGACACGTCCCTGCGATCACCCTGTAACTCTGATTGTCACAAATGTCCCATTCTTCTGCTTCTCCCTACCCTACACTTGAGCCTCTTAATCGAAGAAAAGCCACACTGCCAGGGTGCACTAACCTCACCAGACCTAACCAGAACCCCAGCAACTCGGAACCCACCGCTCATGTGCCTTCTCCTCGGGTCCCGCATGCTCCTGGTCCAGGGCTAAAGCCTAAACCGAGAGACCAAGAGATCCCGATTACCCCTTTAATGAAGGACTGACTATACCTAAATTATTGGGGGCTAATATCCTTACTTATAGCTAAATACAAGGGGCTAATATCCTGAATTATAGCTAAATTATCGGGGGCTAATATTTGGTTTAAGGCAAACTCCTTCATTGAGGAGTCTTGGACTCTCTGGGAGCTCATCCCACGACCCCCAGACTCCGACGCTCCCCTAACTCCTAACGAGATCCCATATAACATACCTATACATAGTCCGATAATATATAATATACAACAGTATAGTTTAATATGATATAATCTGATACAATATGATATAACGTACAATCTACTATGATATGACACGTTGTCCACCTCGGCTTCCCTTGCCAGCTTTTCCAATGTCGAGCGATTCCCATACTGAAGCTGCGACTGTACCTTTGCTGTTGCAGTTGGCTCAATGTCGCAGGCTAATGGGATCAGTTCCTGTCGTGGTTGCGTTTTGAGGCGGTTTGGGCGGTGGGTGTCTGTTGTTTTGCTTTGTGCTCCCGAGTTAGATTTTTCCGACACGGAAAGTTTCAGGACAGCATCGGACTATGAGACCCGACGAAGTTTGAAGATTGGGTATTGGAAAACTCTGCAAAGGAATAATGGAAACTTAGTGCTGAAAAACTCCCAAGGCGCCCTAAGGAGGGGCAGGAAGATCAGAAGCGCCCGTGCAGTCAGCATGGCGGATCACTGGTGGATCTGGAGGGATCTGATTGATCTGAGCAAACTGGCAGCACACCGAAGCATAAGACCAAAACAACACAGGCAAAACTCCATCCATCAACCTTACTTGCAGCCTAACTTCGCCTGGCCCGCTCCGCTCCACGCAAGACCCGGCAAGCCCGAGTATACGCAAGCCATAAGAACCACTAAAGCACCCTGCTATCGGCAAATCTCAGAAACTGAAGCGTCGGAACCAGACAGGACTGAAAGCAGAGGGGCTGCCGGGCTCTACAGCCGAAACCTGAAGAAGAACCCACGTCTCTAGGGATAGTTAGGGAACAGGGTTTTGGGTGCAATCAATTCGGCATGTGGCATCAAGCAAAGGCAAGCGCGCCTCTGCAACAATGGCGAATCACCAACTCGTTGCACCAACAGGTTGCGGCTGTTTTTAGCACACGCCTCCTAGATGGATCAAGCTGATGCACTTTGTGCACGCAGCCAGTTGCCAGGATTTCAAGTTCTGTACGACAACTCTCCACGCCCACAGTGCGACCAGCCGGCTTCAACCACTTCGTGCGCCCAGGTCCCTACAACAAGTCTTTAGGCTGACTAGAAAGGAACCTCCATGGCAGGGGACCTGGGACAGGGGAAATGATCTGTCCAGGCGCTGGCTGGCACCATACGCAAGCAGCACATGCGCTGCCCTTTGAGGCCACGATGCTTTGCTCAATATGCACCATCTCCTTAGTCGCCAGCGCAGGGGAACTCAAGAACATGATACTATGCTATGCTATGCTATGCTATGCTATGCTATGCTATGCTATACTATACTATAGTATACTATACTATGCTACAAGCTACTATACTATACTATACTGTACTATACTATACTATACTATACTATACTAAGTTATATTTCTATATTATGTTATATTATCCTATGCTATACTGCATTATACTATATTATAATGTGTTATACTATATTATATTATGTTTTTTTATAATATTTCAATTATATTATGTGATATTGCAGAGAAACACCAGCCAAGTGAGCAAGACAGCAAAGATGGACCGGAGCCCTCCGAACGAAAGCTGAGGCCGGGTCTGGCGCTGTGAGAACGCATCACCGTGGTGAGATGTCAGAGAACTGAGGCGGCTGTGGGCGTTCAAAGGCGAAAGACCCCTACAGGAACTGTACAATGGCTACTGATCCCCCAAAGATGCGAATTACTGGATGGACCCCGGGTGCTGTACAAGCAACAGCGTGCATGGGCAGAGAAGGCTGGTCAGAATATCCTTCCTTCTGAGGTCCAGCCATCAGGCAAAGCATCAGCCAAGTACCATTACCAACCCTCGCAGTCAGCCCATGGGGGAAAAACAAATTGTGAAAATCCCTTCAGCTGCGGCTTCTGACTTGCGAGGCTTGGAGCGCTACCTATCAGCTCTAGAGATTCAGGTCTTCAGAATGCAGACACGGAATGCCTCGGCAGCTTCGACTCCGGGTCTGCATGACAGGGAGCCGAATCGGTTCACACGCGCAAGTGCTGGGCGTAACGGTCCTGAAAATGAAAATATACGTAGCATAATAAAATATACTAGCATAGAATAGAGTATAATATAGTAAAATATACAGAAGCTTACATTAGCACTCCTTTGGCAAGGGCCCAAAACTCTCCAGTCGACAGATTCGCCTTTGGGCTTCTCATGCGTGGCTCTCGGTCCTTTGAACTCTTGCAGAAACTAGCGTTGATGATATAAGTCCTGCATTACCTTAAGGACCCTACACTATGGGAATTGTGTATAGTCCTTATTATGGGTAATGCAGGATTTATACCATCAACCGTAGCATAGCCAGCATCGGCGCCATAGACGCTAGACACGTTTCGAAGCGCCCAAACAGGATTCCAAAGATAGCTCACAGGGGAATCTCTCTTGGCTATCAGATGCTCATGACGAAAAATCTCGATGTCAGAACCGGCTGCCGATGCAAGACTTCACCTTGACCAGTCAGGCTCCTGCCTTCGTCGTTTCTGTGAGGGCGGCTGCCTCACCTTCGTTCGAGTTCTGGGTTCAGCGGCAGCACGCGGTTTCAAAAACCTCAACTGGGATGACAGCTCTGACCCCTAAACCCTAAACCCTAAATCCTGATCATCATCAGAATCGTAGTAGTAGTAGTAGTAGTAGCAGCAATGGTATGAGGGTCGGGGATTCAGCCGATGAGGCTTCCGGCCTAGGCTGTCTCCCGGAGCTTCAGCTGGGATGCTCGGGTCTTCAATCAATGATGATCCCCTTAATTGCAACAAAATGCACTCCCAAATCCTTATTCCAAAATTCGTTTCTAGTATATACCAAACCCCTGCTTCAACTATTCCAAAATTCTTTTTTATGGTATATCCCCAAACCCCTGCTTCAACTATTCCAAAATTCTTTTATGGTATATCCCCAAACCCCTGCTTCAACTATTGAGGCCCCTTTGCAGGCCAGTGACCTGGTCACTGCTGCATGAACCAATTCGGGATGGCCGTGTGTTGCTCGAAGACGGCGCGAGCCTGCCAAGTGAGAGAATCTTTTGGGATTCAAGGCCTTGGGAGTTTAGCTTCGGGTTTGGGGTTTAGGGTTTAGGGTGTGGGAGTCCGGGGCTTGAGGCTTCGGGAGCCAATTGTGCTATCGGGGCATAGGAGCCTGTCGAGCTCTGCGCCCTCGAATTCGTTCTCGAGGCCACACTCCGAAACCACCCCGACTCCTTAAACCTCTATTAAACCCCCAGTAAGACCCAGGCAAGTGATATTACCAGTGACCAATAAGCTCTGTCTAAACCTTCAACCGTTGTTTCCTGGGAAGGTCTTTCTGATGTCACCTCCCCGCCTGCTGCACAAGGCCGCAGGGAATGAGCCCACGGTCACCCATCGCAAACCAACCTGGATGCACGGGATTTCGTGCGTCGGAGCTCAGGCTTCGGGAGGTGCAACACCCCTTGGAGTTAAGGCTTTGTCCGCGAGATGTTCACAGTACTCCTATTCTGAGCCCAGAGTGTCCCAAGCCCAGGGGTTCGGATATACATCCTGAACCTCAAGTTGATGCCTATGTCTGGGCTTCCGGCCCATAGGCACCAGTGTGATCGCCTGTCCCACCTGCAGGTTGCAGTTGAGCTTTACCGATATCCGGCATTGATTTCGGGATAAGCACCACCCACACTCTGGACCTACACCCCTCAACTCCAAAACCAAACAATGCAAACAGCCACAATCTATCTCCACCCATCACCAAGACTTTAACGGCAACTGCTTGCCTGTTTTGACGTTTACTCTGCGTACGATGAATTCTCGTGATGCTTACGATAAACAAAATGACGATTTCCTCGCATCTTGGAGCCCCCACTGGCGCCAGCTGCACGGGCGTCACGCAGCCAGAGCCCATAGGCGTGCCGTCGCTGCCGCTGAAAGTGCTTCGGGCCACCTGACAGAAAAGGATTTCAGGTTTCGGAGGAGGCTTTTGGGCTTCACGTCCAAAGCTCGCAAGTCGACCAAGGAACGAATTGAGTGAAATAGACGGGCAACGGATTTGGCGCTCGTGAATTTGGGGCTTCCGCATCCGTCTCAGGGGACATCTGTCTTGTCGTTACTCTTGGATTTAAGCTACCATCTCGAACCCCCACCTTATGAATCATCAGCTCCAAGCCCGAGCCCTCTCACTGCCCTAAATACCAAAACATCGAAAATCCGTCCGAAACCTCAAGCCCCACGCCACAGACTCTCTTGCAACAAGGCAAGGAACCGTAGAGGCCGTTGGAGAGGAAGCGGAGCTCCACCCACCGTGCCAGACCTCAGCGGCATTTGGGTTGAGGGCCAACTGCGGTCTAAAGGAGTGAAATCGTGGGACTAGTCGTCCCGACATCACGACTGGAGATCTATATTTGCGTGCTTGATTTGGTGAACTCAGAGTAGTTTCAAGTAGGGGCCTGTAACAAAAGCATACGCTTCACAAGTGGGCTTTTCAGCACGGAAGGCAAACTGGCATTCAGCTTTGGGGCCACGACCACCCTCACGAAGTATCCAAGTTCGATACCGGGCTCCAGACCTGAGGCGGTGGTTCGTAGGGGTTGTCGAAGAGGTTCTCCGGCAGCTGCGCCTGGTGCTGGAGGCATGACGACGGGCACTAAGAACCCAGAAACACGCCTTCCTGCTACGCTGGCGCACCTCTGGGAAGCTGTCCTGGTCCCGGACGCTCTTCTCCAACGCACTGTTCCTGCATGGCACGGCCCATGATCATGATTTCATCTTGCAGCTGTATCTACTCTGAGCTTGCCGCCTGCTCCGAAGCTTCTCGTTCTTTGCCCGAAGAGCAGCCAGCTCCTCCGACGGCCCCGACCCAGAAAAACTGGACAATGCGGCTTTCTTGCGAATCTAAAGCCAATGCACTTACCTTCAATGCGGTGTGCTGACTGGTGCGATGGAGCAAGCCCTCAAACCCATGACCCCTCCTCTTGCACAGCTGAAGAGGTCGTTGAAGCCACAGTTGACACTTCCGGCGACAAGGCATCTCCCACCTGTGCCAAAAGCTTCAATGCTTGCAGCTGCCGGCAACAGTTACGGCAGTGGCTGGCTGATTGTTCACGGCGGTGCAAGGTCTTGAAGTCCAAAATCCTATTAACAGGCAGGTACCTTTGATATTGCAGGGGAACCCAAACCCCACAAGAAGTGCTGTGGGCAACTCAAGCCCGCAACGTGGGTGATGTGTGGGAAACTTTAACCAAAAAGGAAACGGCTGCCGGGCCGGAAAGCTTGGGTGTGGTCTAAAGGCTGAACATGCGTGATCGGAAGCAGACCACGCCCGAGTATCAGACATTCATAAGAATCGGCCAAACGTTACTGGCTCAAGCCAACACTCAAAAAAACAATTTCAAGATTAGTCTCACACAGGCATGAACACGCACTCTTCCGACACCAACGCCTGTACAATGCTTGGTATTCTTTCCAACCAAAACTGAGTTTGTTGATAACTTTTCGTATGTACAGGAGCAGCTCTACATTGAGGATGGAGAGTTCTATGATCAACCAGGCGAACATTTGATCAGCGAACTTTGTTTCCATCAGCAGACAAGTTAGATTGTCTTATCAGGTCGACAGAGCTGGTAGATTGGACTGCTATGCCGATTTCTGCATTACTCGCTTTGTCCTCGTGTGTGTAGCAAAGTCGTAGTGAGGTGGACTGATGCTGAGATAAGCGAACTGGTGTGTTTTTTCACCCATTCGACGGGACCGTATCAACATCAGCTGGCCGACCCTCGGCGAGTCCGGATTGCGCAGTCGCATTGGGGTTGTTGTGTGCTGAATATAGCTTGGCATTTTCCGCAAAATGCCAACTTTCTAGATTGTATTTCCAATGGTCTGTATAGCTGTAGCTGCCGCGTCCCAAGCTTATTGTTAGTCTCCTTGTTCGCTGTGCACTGTTTCAGTTGTCAGCACCCTGCGAGTTTGAATAATGCGAGATGTGACAATCGCACTCCGTGCATTCTCAAGGGACCGTGTTAGGTTGAACCGCATCATTAGTGGCCTTCCCCACAGACCCACCATTGGATGCCACGCTCGAGATTGGCTCAAGGCTGCTGTGAAAACAGTGAGTCCGAGAGAGTTGGCTTTTAGGCTCTGGGTTGATCAAGAACATGCGGAGGACTTGATTCACGCTCTATCTGTCAATTGGGAGCTAGGGGTTTCTTTCATCGCTTTCGTGTTCATCGGGCCAGGTCGAAGGTGCGTGCTGAGCATGGTCAAGCACACTGTTCCAAGTTGCATTTTCGCAGGGTCTACCCTGTACATCTCAAACTGCCTTTCTCCACAGTAAGGTTAAAGCTGGACGTTGAATAGAGTAGAGCACAACACGGGGCAAAGCGGAGCAGAGAAGAGCGACACAGAGCGAGCTCAATCCTCAACTTAGCAACCTAGAATATGGTTTGGGGGGAAAGGTTGTTCTCATAAATATACAGGGACTATGGGGGGGATGACATTACTAACTGTTTCAGTTTTTTTAGACTTAGATGTAACCTAAACCCTAAACCCTAAACCCCTGGGCCTCCTCTTCCTCGCCTGCGCAAGGCAGAACTTGACCCAGAGCTGCCCACGGCTTTTCCTCAGATCCGGGGGCTAGGGCTTAGGGCTTACACTTTTTTTTTAAAGGGTTTAGGGCTTACACTTTGGAGTTTAGGGTTTAGGATGAGGGTTTAGGGTGTAGGAGTAAGCGGTTTTGGGTTTTACGCTTTAGGCTTAGGGGTTAGGGTTTGGGACTTAGGGTTTAGGGCTTTAGGTTTAGGGCTTGAGGCTGGGGCCTCAAGATTGCAATTTTTCTGATGGCCCGTTTCGAAGCAGTACGGTTTAGGGTTTACAGGCATATAGGGTCGCACACCAATAACATGAAGAAATACCCGGGCCTTGACTACTGCCCCGCGCCACCAGCGCACTAACACACCCACGCACACACGCAGACACACACACACACACACCATAAACCATAAAGCCGAAAGCCTAAACCCTAAAGCATAAAGCCTAAACCCCAAACCCTAAAGCCTCAACCCCAAACCCCAAACCCAAAGCCCCTGAAGCCTAACCCCACCCCCCCCCTACCCCACCCCCCCAAAACAAAGCCAGCTTTAGGCGGCCAGGGCTCTGCCAACGCCTCAGGGCCCGGGCCCGCAAAGCGCAGCAGCAGGTCGTTGTGCCGCTTCGAGGGCCTGGGGCTTGGGAGAACTTTAGTCATATAGACACAAGCATCTTATATACATATATATATATATAGAGAGAGAGAGATAGATAGATAGATAGATAGATATAGAGATATAGAGATATAGCAATAATATCACCAGCAGACTTCTGGGCAAGCCCATATGCAGCACCATCCGAGTCGCTGCGGGCAAGGTTTGCAGGTCTTATTAGTGCCGCGTGCACCACTGAATGCTATCTATATATATATATATCAACTTGGGCTTCTGAGCTTCAAGGAGTGTCGAGACTTGCTCGGGAGCTTACAGAACACCTTCACGCTCCACTCCCAAGTCCCTCCAAAGCCAGGCATCTCCGCAGCCAACACCCCCCACCCCGCCCCTGCGACTTGAAAACCCTCGATGGCTCTCTTCCAGAGAGATTCACCTTCCTGCCAGGTCCACAGCAACCAGGCAGGTAGCACGAAAGAAGGACAGGGGTGCACTATCCCCTAAACTCTAAACCCTAAACCCCCTGCTCTGCCAAAGAAGGCCCAGTCTGCAGAAGAGGCGCAGGAGCTCCAGCTCTTGTGAAAGTGCCTCATCCATGTTCCGGCCTCGGGACTCTGGGTTTTAGGGTTTAGGGTGTAGGGTTTAGGGATTAGGGGTTTAGGGGTTTAGGGTTTAGGGGTTTAGGGTTTAGGGTTTAGGGTGTATTGTTTAGGGTTTTGGGGGTTTAGGGTGTAGGGTCCTCTGAGCATGTAACAGTAACATCGTCTCATCGTAGCCGTTAACCTCGTGCTAACCATCATAACGACCACGATCTACATTCACGCATGTCCATCACGTGCATTGCACGTATGACCTCCCTCAATTTCAACACTGTCACCTTCATGATGACGAGGATGCTTGCTCTTCAGCATCACCATCAACATCCTCATCACCAACGTCACTATCACCATCAGCATCATCATCGCCGCCGTTATTACGGTCCTCTGGTGTGAGTTTTGAAAAGAGAACGCCCCCCTTAGTCCCTGCCAGGACGCCGGAGCGGCCGCCACAAGACCTGGACTGCAGATGAGGATCCTAGAAAACTTATGAAAGAGTGTTCTAGGGGTTGAAGCACTTAGCTCAAATCACCACAGCATGGAACCACAACATGGATACGCGGCAAACGGTGTGGTTCCCTTGTCACCGAAACTTCCCACCCTGCGAAAACCTGTCAAACTCGCCTTACTATGGCAATCTAGGCGTGAAGCCCTAGACCTTGTAAACCCTAGAACCTAAACCCACTTCAAGTGATCCTAAACCCGAAGCCCCGAACCCTGAAGCCTTATAATAGTACCTCAACTTCTGCTACCTCGTAACCCGTGGCCCTACAGCCCCAAGGCCCTAAATCTTCAGCTCCCGAGCAGCTGCCAGGCCAGGCGTTGCGAACGCCATCGAAGCAAGGCCTAAGCTTCGGGTACCCTTGAAAAGATCCCTAGGGGCTCCCCCCAAATTCAAAAAAAAATGGTCAAGGCTTCTGTAGGGTTTAGGGCTTAGGGTTCCTATAGGGTTTCGGGTTTGAAGCTGCTAGGGTTTAGGGTTTAGGGGAGGTGCGCGGTTTAGGGCTGTAGGATTTAGGGCTTACAGGGCTTGGGACTTCTTGCTGGACGTTGCAGCAGCTTCCCAACTCCCTAAGTCTAACGCTGGGTCGTTTTAGTTCAATTCTCAGGGTCAAGTTTCCGGCTTAAGGCTCCAAAGCTTAGTAGCTTTGAGGGCCTAGGATGTTCGGGGCCTTATTGTTGCGGGTTTCCGGTCTTTGCTAGAGTTTTAAGGAACCCCTCATGTCCACCCTACAGAAACCCCCCTTCTTTGTTAGAGGGACCCCTGAAAAGTGGCCCCGGACATTCACCCCTTTTTGTTGTTCTGGCGATGCTTACTGGAATACTGGGGGTTGTAGTGCACCTCCTGGAATTAATGCCAATTACATCCCTGGGCCTGACCCTATCTCAGCCCGCGGAATGAATTCTGGTGGCTGTGGGATACCGAACGAGTATGGACCCTGCGGGCTGATGTTGGGGAAGATGGACGAAATAAAACCCTGCGGCCTGACCCCTTCTAGACTAGGCGCTAGGAACCTTGAAAATCTTGGACCGTTCATGTCACCAACTCGTCGCGCTTGATCCTGAAAAAAACTCAGGGACTAGATCCCTCAATCCTAAACCCTCACGCCAAACACCCTAAACCCCAACACCCTCAACCATAAACCCTAGCAGTAGCACCGTAAACTTCGACCCTAAACCAAAATAACCAAAACGACCTCAACCATATACCCCAAAAGGTTAAACTTAAACCTAAAACCCAAGCACCCTCAACCCTAAACCCCAGAACCCTAAACTTAAGCCCCAAAACCCTCCCCTCAACCCTAAACCCTAAAGCGGGCCTGAAGAAGATGCTTCATCTTCTTCATCTTCACAGCGGAGCCTTCCTCCGTGAGGTAGCCGAGGCTTCCCTGGGTATGTCAAAGGCTTCCGGGTTTTCCGGTCCCTTTAAGGGTTCACGAGGGGCTTGTAGGGCTTAGGGTGTTTCGGGTGTTAGGGCTTTAGCTTCAGGTTTCGCGGCTTGGGGGATAAGTCAAGAAGCACCCAAAGAAAGCCCAGAAAGCCGTTGAAGTCTGGCGGCCTCGTCGAAGGTGCTATGCCAGTAGCGCTGCAGCAAGGGTTTCAGCTGCGACACCAGGATCGCCTGCTGGCCGTCTTCCTGCCGGGCGACGGCAGCTCCGGTTTAGGGGTTTCCTCTGCAACCGAGGGCTCCGGAGCCCTCCTAAAAGCTTCCAGCTCACAGCTCCGAATCCCCCGAAGTCTGCGTCCTTCACCTCGAAAAATAAATAAATAAAGCTCCGGAGAAGATCGGATTTCAAGCTCTTTCCGAAAGACTCGGCCAGTGGAAGCTCTCGACATTTGCCCTTCGGAGTGATGGGGCCAACACAGTGCAGGTTCAGGTGTTGTGGGAGATGTCGAGCTGCTCTCCCCGACCAGCTTGAAACGACACTATAACGAAAATTTCAAAAGGTGGACTGCACTCAACCCCTTTGCCTCTTGCACCGTGCCATGCTCGCGAAGCACATTGCAAAGCACCTCCGAACTCTCTCGGTAACCCGAGTTTCGGAGAATGGGCGCACCACGGCTTTTAGGCTCTAATATTTAGAGTTCAGGGTTTAGGGTTTAGGGAAGTTAGGGCTTAGGGTCGCTCCTGCTCATGTAGCTGGACTGGATCTTGCCACTATTCGTGCCAGAGTCTGTATGATTCCTCTGCAGCGCTCCAGCAAGCCTCCGATGCCGATGAAAAAAGAGAGCCTGAAAAGTGCGTGAAGAGCAAAAACTGAAAATTCCCATGCCTCACAGCAACCCTTGTTGTCACTTATGCTGACCCGTCTTGCAAACCTAAGGAGGCACCGAAGACCTAAACCCTAAAACCCTAAACCCTAAAGCCCTAAACCCTAAAACCCGAAACCCTAAAACCCGAAACTCTAAAACCC